TTTTTCTCTTTAAATCTAAATCCTGCATCTAAGCACATACAAGAAGATTTATTTGAGCTCAGTAGATCCAAAAACTCCATCGAGCTTTCACTAAATGCTAGATTAACAATTCTTCTACCACAAAAACACACAGAAATTTCAAATAATTTCATACCCATCAAGGAAACTCAAGATTTCTCACAGACTGATAATCAAGACTTGAAAAGGAACCAACTTTAACCAAAACTATTTCAAGAATCGAGGGCTTACCACTGAATTCAACGAGCTGAGACATGGGTATGTCTTGAAAGCCGCAGGGAGATCAAATCTGGACAGAAAGAGCCCAAAAAACCCTCCAAAGAGAGGAAAAAGTGAGAGATCAAAGAGGAGGGTGATGGTGATGAATAGTAAAGATTCAAAAATTGAATGCATCAGAAAGCTGAGAAGCTATGGGTCATGAAGAAACCCTATAAAGAAGGGCAAAAAAAATAGAGAAGAAAGGTTGGGTGGAGGCAAAGGCAAATGGGGGGTGATGTGCTTATACAATGTATGTATGGGTGGGTGGCAATTAGGCATTTTTTTTCTTTGTGTATTTATCATCTTTTGTCTGCATCTGTAGCCAGGTGTGGTGTTGGGATATTTGCAGTTTTTTTCTACTGTTTTAATTTATTTATTTATTTATTTATTTATTGCATTTTAAAAAATATCATATGACATGAGAAAGATAGCAGGGAGGTAGATGCATTGAACCCAAACCTAAAACTGGGAGAGTGTCATGTTCAATGTTTCTATTTTCCCTTTTCACTAAAATTCAAAACAAAAAGTTGACAAATCCATTTCCTCCATATACTTTGCCCTACCACAAAATATTTGTTCATCATATTCCATAAAAAGCATATGCTCCGTATGTGTATAATACAGATAAAAACGGCCATTTCCTATTCTATATTCTGTAATAACAATAATTACTATGCCACTTTGTGTTTGGAAATAATAGAGGTTATTAGATTTAATCTTGATTCTTGACCATAATAATGAGTGTGTTTCTTAAACAATATAGTCACGAACACCTATAGCTAAAAAGAGAAATCTTGTCATTCATGAAAATGGATAAATAGTTCTCAATTACATGTAGTTTTTTATATTTAGTCTCTAATTATAAAATATTTTATAAATGATCTCAGAAAAAATATTTTGTCATATTGGGTGAAAAGAACTATTTGTGGAATAGTTTTCATAAATTAAAAATCATTTATGAAATATCTTATAATTGAGAACTAAATATGAAAAAGTACTTATAATTAAGAATTTTGCTCAAGTATCGAGTTTAAAAGTGGTTCCAATTGTTATGGTTCCAATCCGAGTTAAAGATGTATTTATAATATTCATGTTGAATGATTTGTTTATACTTTGATATCAAGTAGGACACGGGTGTGTAAGTTCAAGAAAGTTGTAGGTTGAATTGCATCCAACAAAATATGTAAACTATACTATCCAACCGGCTATACCTAAAGTTGGATACAACCGGTAAAACGAAACGCCAAGCCAAGGGAGAATTGACGAATTTGGATCGGAGATAAGGTAGCGCGCCAAATTGACGAAGTAGCAGCGCACCAGATCGACGACGCCATGAGCAGCGAAAGTGATGGTGATGGCGACCGCGAAAACCTAGGTGGCGGCGAAAGTCACAGATGCAGAAACATAGATCCGCTCATTTGAGGCTTTCAGTGACAAAGACAAAGAAGGGTTCCAGCTTTAAGACTCAAACGTGGAATGAACGCTTAGTTGGTTAAGAATGAACAATAAGTTGTTGAGAATTAACACTACTTTATTTAAAAATGAACATCACTTTGTTTCATAATGAACACTACGTTATTCGTAAATGAATATTATATTTGTAATGAATAAATATGTAAAAATGAATACTGCATTATTTCAAAATGAGTATTATACTATTTCAGAATGAGTACTACGTTGTATCAAAATGAACACTCGTGTTATGTATGAGAATGAGTACTGATGGGTGTATACCACTCAGGACCCGGTCCAAAACTGGGTCCACAAAAACTGACCTGTCAAGTTGCAAACATGTCAGAATGAAAGATTTAAACTAATAATATACCGCACTGGTCATGTTCGGAAAAGTTGACCTGTACAAATATAGACCTACCGGTCAGAGTATGTAATTTCAAGCTTGCGGTCTTCTGCGCTTCAGAACATAAACGAGAGGTAAACTTACTGGGTAAGTTATTACGGCGTAAAAGTGTTGGCACGAATAACTCCAAAGTCATTTAGAGGGTAGTGACTGATTTTCAACGAAAGATTGAGAGAATACTCTTTCAATCTCGGCTGGGCGCTACACGTGGGTTGATGTGTCCCCTCCCTTCCCTTCCCTTCCCTTCAAGCTTGTAATAGCTCTCGACACTTTCTTACATACTTGATAACAATTGGATTACAAGTGTTTCTACCTACAGTCCTACTAATCGTTCTTTGTTCGCATACACCTTTCATAGCCTAGACGTAGCAAACTATTCTAGATCCAGTCTAGTACAGTTTGCCCGGTGGTTAATTTACACCATCAAGTACTACTTTACTTAAAAATGAATACTACCTCGATGTACCTTACTTTAGGTACAACCGACTGTATCATATATGGACTCAACAAAGTATAGCTTTTAAAAGATTACATTTCATAAATGGTCTATAATGTCAAGTAATTTTCCGTATTTAAAGCTTGTTCTTTTCACCTTATCTGATTGATTTTGATTTGATTGAAATAAATTATGACCTGGTCTAATTATAGTTGTATTTAAAAGGCAAAATTCACAAGAAAACTCCCAGAAATTACAGGTTTTACATAAATACTCCCAAATTTGTTTATTTACATAGTTACTCCCACGTTTGTCTATTATTTACGTCGTTACTCCGAAATTGCTTCATCATCAGTGTTCCTCGGGTGCGTCTTTTTAAACGGAGATCTTCATCTTTTTTTATTGAACCAAATTAAATTAATATGATCAGACTTGATATTAAACATTAAAAATATTTAGGAAGTTTGAAATCTGAATTTTTTTAAAAGGTGATGGAAATAAGGGTAACGATTAGGCTTACTAAGACGCGAGAAAGTCGATGGAGAGAATATTTTGAGGTGAATTTGGTATATTAGAGTGGAAAAAAATACATGTCTGCATTTTAACTGCTCAGTTATTGCAAAAAAATGCATCCAAGTAACACTAATGATCACTACCAAATTTGGGGGCAATGATATAAATAAAAGAAAAATGTGGGAGTAATAATGTAAATAAACAAATTTGAGAGTATTTATGTAAAATCTGTAATTTCTGAGAGCATTGTTGTCAATTTTTCCTATTTAAAAATTCCGTGGATTTTAATCGGGTGGAATTAACTTAATCACATATTATTAAACTTTTACACGATTTTTGTTAAAAATCGATCCGGGCCACAAACTCTTTGTTTTTTTTACACGTGGTTAATTATTTAGACAATGGCAACCAATTCAATGAATGCATTGATGGCCGGTTTCCACGTAGAACTCAAATTGGGTACAAATTCAAATCGAAAGACCCCTTTCTTCATGGGGTGGCTGATCCAAGGACGGGACAACCATTTGCTTTGCCACTGCTTTGCTGTCATGATATACACATAACAATAATGTGTGTGTATGTTTGTATGTGTGTGTATATATATTTATATATATATATACTCCGTGTGTATATATATATATATGTGTGTGTGTATATATATATATATATATATATATATATATATATATAATGGGAATTAAATCAATTAATTAAGTGACGCATCTCCATCCATCATCCATGCACATCGACCCAACCCTTTGTGCTCCAATTCAATGAATCTCATTTTTGAATACTCCATTTTCTAAAAAAATTAATACTACCTCCTCCGTCCCAGAGTATTTGTCAACTTTTATTTTTACACACCATCCAATACACTTTTTTAATCCATTTTATCTTGTAATTTGTGTATTAAAAAATTATAGAAATTATATATTAATAATCTATTTAAGACAAATCAAACAAGATCACACGTGACAGTATTTAGACTTACATATTGAGAGAATTTGATGAGTCAAAGTGCCTAGATGAAAAGTTCCAAAAGTCAAAAGTGGACAAAAACTGGGGGACGGAGGGAGTATTAAGTATGCTTCGACACAACATATATATTAATCATCATATCTAGAAAATTAGGTATTTAAGTTTTTAAATTTAAAAAAATCGATATCTGTATTACGGAGTATTAGAGTTTACACATTGAAAAACAAAGTAAAATATCATTATCATATATGGAATGGTGATACCCTACGTTTCAGTTTAAGGTTTTGGAATATTAAAAAGTGGATTCTGAGTTTAATGTAAGTGTTTAGTTTTACCCAATATTCTGCCCATTGTTCTCAGTCCACCAGAAATTTTACATGGTACTAAAGTAGGTCTGGTCCAGATTCGATTCTTCTTGGTTGTTTTGACGTGCGTTTAGTGATATGAGCTACATGTCTGTAGTTTGGGCTATGTTGACTACGGAGTATAAGATATCGAGTTGTTAAACTTGTTGTTCTAAGAGTATTAGAATTCCCCTGTTTTAAAACAAAGAGAAATATGGCTAGTATACTTATGTGCATATATAAAAAGATGAAGTACATCTTACTTATCAAGTTAAACTTTTGAATTAGAAAGTAAATCCAGATTTTATATCTAAGTACTTAATTTTACTTGATGATTGTAAGTATATTTAGCTATGTTTTATTAGCGCGTGTTACTCATTTTATGGCAAGTGCTCTGAGTGAGTTAGTTTTCCCCAAACTTTATTGCAAGTGTTCTTTAAATATTTCTTGGTGTTCAAAAAAATCATAAAATTCATTATTTAAACAACGAAAAAAAATTGAAAAGAAATAAACAACGCGCATTGCACCGAAAAATTAAATCTATCACGTATGAAAAGTGTGACATCAGGTGTGAAACTACAGGGATGTGATGATATACCATAAATTCATAATGACTAGCAAGTTCTTTGGGTCTTTTTTTCTATTGCATTTTAATACACTCTTACAAAATTTGGGTGTATTGCATTTCATGATTTGAAATATTTCCTCTGTCGTTTAACTTCTTTGAATCATATTGTATAAGTTTTGAGTTTCAATTAAATAAAAACCGTAATATATTTTAACGTTAAAATAATGTTATTAGATTTATGTTATTGAAAATTTTTAAAATTGCATTTCATTAAACCAAAGTGACATACTAATTGAAAGTATTTGAAACTACTCCATCCGTCCCATTATATTTGTCCACTTTCATTTTTGCACACCATCCAATACACTTCTTTAATCCATTTTATCTTGTAATTTGTATATTAAAAAATTATAAAAATTATATATTAATAATCTATATGTTAAGACAAATCAAACAAGATCACACATGACTATATTTAGGCTTACATATTGAGAGAATTTGATGAGTCAAAGTGCTTAGATGAACAGTTTCAAAAGTCAAAAGTGAACGAATATAGTGGGACAGAAGGAGTATAAGTTTATCCAATTTAATTCG